TTTAACACCTTTGCACTTACTATCTCTCTGCCTGGGATGCTCTCCTCCATCCCACCCTGGCCCCCAGATTCACTCATGGTCACAACTCTCACTGCATTCAACTCTTCAAATGTCAATTTCTCAATGAGGGCCCCCCTGACCACTGTATTGATGTTGCAACTCATTGTCCCTCCACCCAGCACTTTTCCATTCCCTTTACCTCGCTCTATTTTTTCCTTCTTTGTTATTATCACTAATGTTATATAACCTGTTTCATTTATTATTTATTTTCTTCCTCCATCCTCTAAAGTTCCACAAGGACAAGGATCCTTTGAAAAAGTCTATCTTTGCTTTCATTTATTTGAAAGGCAGAGATACAGAGAATAACAGACAAACAGAAAGATCTTCCATTCACTGCTTCATTCCCCAAATACCTGCAACAGCCAAGGCTGGGCCAGAAGCTTCAGACTCAATCTGGGTCTCTTACATGGGTGTCAGGAACCTAGGTACTTAAGCTGTTACCACTGCCTCCCAGAGCCCACCTTGGGAGGAAGCTGAAATTGGAAGTGGAGCTGGAATTTGAATCCAAGTACTCCAATATGGGATGCCACAAGCATCCTAACCACTGTACCAAATGCCTATCCTGAGAACAAGGATCCTTAGCTACTTTGTTCTTTCATATATCCCAAATGCCCAGACTAATGCCTGGCATAGTCAGCTCTCAATGAACACTTGTTGAAAGAATCAGTGAGTGTTAGTGTTTGTTATGGTAACTACAAATTATCTACTAGAAAGTTCATATATACAAAAAGTGACTTCTGTGCTAAAATGGCAAATCTAATTTTGTTCCCACCCCTAATGCCATAAACTATAATCAAGACAACGGGAGAACAGGAGACAACATTCCCCAAATGTGGGATGCTAGAAAGAAACAAGTGAGTGGTAACCTATCTCACAGATATGACACCTGAGAAATGACCTAATTTGTGCTACAGAAACCTCAAAAGACTCAGGACAAGCAGCACCAAGTACCTCTGGAAATGAAGGTGAGGAGTGAGTGTTCTTAAGAAGGAATATTCAGGGAAATGCATATGAGAGGACTGAGCCCTGATTCTTCCCTAATCCACCCTTTTGGCAAAGATTGTCTCCCACCCCGAAAAGATGTCAGGAAAGGGTACAAGCATGGGTCCTTGACTTCAGGAACTGGGTACTGTACCAAACCTAGAGAGATTCAGTAACCACATGCAAATTGCTGCTAGGTATTCCCACAGGACATTGGTAGTCAGACCTTTATTCTTCAGGCAGAAAATCAGATGAGTTTTTTGCCGAACAACCTACTAGCCAAAAGGAAAAGATCTACAGGTACCAACGTCTGGGGCAGCCCATCAGATGAGCCAAGCAGATCATGGTACAGTGAAACTCAAACTTGACAAACCCTATGCAAGGGCTCGGAGCTTCTAATCAGCTTTTCGGTCCCCTCTTTTTTTTTTATAATTGTTGATCAAACACTATTTTATTTATTTATTTACTTATTTGACAGGCAGAGTGGACAGTGAGAGAGAGAGAGAGACAGAGAGAAAGGTCTTCCTTTTCCGTTGGTTCACCCCCCAATGGCTGCTGCACCAGCTGGTCCCCTTTCTAATGCAAGCAGACTATTAGAGATCCACAGAGAGCTGTGGTAGGTCTCTAATACAGAAGACAGAGAAGAAAAACAAAAAACTAAACAAATACAAACAACTTGTAAGGAATTGGCTATGTAGGTAGAACATTTTTAAAAAAGATTCATTTATTATTTATTTGAAAGACAGAGTTACAGCGAGAAAAGGAGAGGCAGCAAGAGAGAGAGAGAGAGATCTTCCATCTGCTGGTTCACTCCCCAGATGGCTGTAATGGCCATGGCTGGGCCAGGCCAGAGACAGGAGCCACGAGCTTCATCCAGGTCTCCCATGTGGGTGGCAAGGGCCCAGGTATTTCTGCTGCTTTCTCAGGTGAATTAGCAGCAAACTGGATCAGAAGTGGGGCATGGCCGGCCCCGCGGCTCACTAGGCTAATCCTCTGCCTTGCGGCGCCGGCACACCGGGTTCTAGTCCCAGTCGGGGTGCCGGATTCTGTCCCGGTTGCCCCTCTTCCAGGCCAGCTCTCTGCTGTGGCCCGGGAGTGCAGTGGAGGATGGCCCAAGTGCTTGGGCCTTGCACCAGGAGAAGCACCTGGCTCCTGGCTTCGGATCAGCGTGATGCGCTGGCCACAGTGAGCCAGCCGCGGCGGCCATTGGAGGGTGAACCAGCGGCAAAGGAAGACCTTTCTCTCTGTCTCTCTCTCTCACTGTCCACTCTGCCTGTCAAAAAAAAAAAGAAGTGGAGCAGCTGGAATTCCAACTGGGGCCCATAGTGGATGCCAGTGTCACACGCAACAGCTTTACCTCCTACGTCACAATACCGATTCTGAGAGAACATTGTTAATTACCAAAAAACCCACCTTATTAATATGCTCATTAAAATGAAAAGATATTATATGTACATTAAAAGATCAGGACCATTTGAAGAGCAATTAGGAAATTATAAACATGATGTCAAAAATGAGAAAATCTCAACTGAAAGATTAGAAGATAAAGTTTGAAGAACTATCCCAAAAGCAGATTTTGAAAAAGGTAATGAGATGGGAAATGGAGAGAAATGATAAGAAAATTAGAAGACCAGCTGAGAAAGACCAATAATAAGAATTCAAAAAAGACAAAAGGAAATGGAAGGGAAAGAAACATGAAAAATTTTTTCAAGAAAACAGCCGAGAACTAAGTAAGTTTTCAGATGGAAAGACTCTTTGAATGTCCAGCACAAATTTAGACCTGAAGGATGGCACACGCAAATTTCCAGAGCATTCAAAAGGTCAGGACCAGTTTAACTGACTTAGCAGATAGCCAGTGAGTTTCTTTTTACTAGGATGGAAAGAATCACATTCAAAGGATCACGAATCACAATGGTGTTTCAAACCTCTTAATAGCATCACCCTGAATGGGCTTAGTAAGCCTATGGGTCTACCTGTATGTGATTTAGATCATAGCATTTCTGTGGTCTAAATGCAGGGTTTGGAATGGACTTCTTGGTAGTTGGCAGAACACCCATTGGTTCCTATCAAGACAGGAACACACAGACAAGGAAGGGCAAGCTCAAGGCTAATTTAATTGGTAAAGCTATAAAAGTCAGTTTTAGACAATGTATTACTTATGTAAGGCCACCACAAAACACACCAAACACCAGAGTAAGGGAAAGTGTTTATTGGTGGGGAAACCCGACAGACTGGAGGGAAGGGGTGAAGAAGGAACAGTGGGAGAAGAAGAGGGTAAGAGAGAGATCATGAGAGAGAGGGAGATAGAGGGAAAGAAAGAGGGAGAGAGAGAGCGCCACGTGTTCAAGAGCAGGTCCTGTTAAACCTTTGCGGGGGGGGGGGGGGGGCAGGGAAATAGGAGTAGAGAATCCCATTAGGATGGAGGTGGAGCTGACACTGGTGGTTGGGCCATGGCTTCCAGCCATGACGGTGGGGGCTAGAGCCTAGGATGGTGTCCAGGGTGTAGATGGCACCATAGAATAATCTGTCAGAAAAAGTGCATGGAGAAACTACATGGACAGATGGGAAGATGAGATCTCTAACCTGACAAAGGGACACCAGGTAGGATCTGTATTCAGATTTCTGGCAATTCCTATGTTAGGATTGTTCCCAACTGAGGGAATAAAAGCTTTTTAAAAAATCTGAAGATGCAACAACTTTACCCATTAGCATAATAGAAAAAATATATTTTAATGGAATGTATTTTGATCACATTCATTGTTGCTCCCTGAGAAATGAATAAATTGTCCTAACCCCTTAAATTTGGGAATGGTCATATGACTTGTTTTGGCTAATGAAATAGAATAATGTGTGTCACTTCCAGGCAGCCACTTCCAAGCTAGGTTCTCTTTCTGCCTCCAAGATCAGGAAAGCATATATCAAGACAGAGCATCCATCAGCCAGGGTCCCTGTGTAGTATTAAAAACAGAAACCACGGCTTATCTGTTTTATTGGTAGTGCCTAATATAACACCTAGGACAAAGTAGATGCTTATAAATACTCACTGATCAATTAAGCGAGGCTAAATTTTATTCCACCCACTGTCAGACGGTAAGCTACACAAGGGTAGGGACCATGTCTGTCTCATCTCTACCGTATCCCAAGACCTAAAGGAGGGAGCTTGGGGAGAGCTTTCACTGGCGTTGGGGTCTATATGAACCCCCTGACAAGTATTGGCTGTGCCACTTTGTGTCGACCTAAGGCAATAATACAGACAGCTGAAACTCGATGGAGGGCAAAGATTGGCAGAGTAAACAGTATTTAATCAAGTCTCCCAAGTTACTACCCATTTCGATAAAAGGTTCATTAGCGACAGTGTTTTTCAGAAAAAGGTTAACTTGGTAGATTCATTCATGGAATAATCAACGCTATGCATTGACTAACGACGCCAACAGGTACAGGCAACCAGTACAATTGTGCGGGTACTGGTTATTGCTGCCATTGTATTTACACCCGTCTGATGATTAGGTGCCGGGACCCCATCCGGCCTCAGAGGCCAACCCATCACTCTTCTGGGTCCCAATACGTAGATCAACAAGTTTTCGAAGAGGCCTTTGACCCCAGGCAGAGTGAAATTGGGGAAGCGCAAGAGGAAAAACCGAGACCGGACCTTGGGTGGATGTTTTAGTGACCAGTCTGAGGTGAACGCCAACGCCGAGGGGAATTGGAAGGGTTGGAAAACAAAGCCGAGCTGCTACAGGGCTGAAGACACCAACAGCGCACAGGCTACCCTGGGACCCCACCCTCCAAGCCAATCCCGCGAGATTCTAACGAATTCCCGAGGATTCCCTTCAACTCCGGAGAGAGCCCCCGCGGGGAAGGGGCAAAAAGGCGGGGCAAGGGGCGGGGGCAGGCGGCGGCGCACGGTCGTTCGCGTCTCGGGCCTCTGGGATCTCGCGAGAGCTTTACTCTCGCGATCTTTTCGGAGCTGACCCTCCACGCGGAGTGCGGGCGAACGTGCTGAGACCGCCGGGCCGGGAGGGCGGAGACTGAGCGGGGAGGGAGAAGCCCGTTTAGCCTGCCCTACGGAAGCCTGCGAGGGAGAGTAGTGTCCACTGCCCCGTTTGCTGTCGCGATGCCCAGTGCCAACGCCAGCCGCAAGAGTCAGGAGAAGCCGCGGGAGATCATGGACGCGGCGGAAGTGGGTTTCCTCCTTCGCGGGGCCTGGGAGGACAGACCCCTGGGCCAGTCCGCGCCGAGGGAGGGAGTAGGGTGAGCGGGGCCCTGCCCTCTGGGTCCTTGTCAGTTCTTTTCCGACAGGCCGCGGGTCAGGGGTGCCGGCGCCCAGAGCCCCTGCAGGGCCCTTGCGCGAGCATCGCGGCCAGCCCCGCTCGGGCCCGCATCTCTTACAGGGTACTTGGGGGTCCTGGCCTGCGAGAAGCGTGTCCTCGGGGTGGGGTGGGCGTGCAGCCCCACTGCCCCGGAAGTAGGAGCGGCGCTGCCACTCTCAGCGCCCCTCTGGGTTAGGCACGTCCTGCACGTAATACCCCCTCCGCCGGGAAACATTTCCATAACCACCAGTAAGCGACAGGGCGATTTTGCTAATGTTTTGGCAGGTCATGACGGCCCTCCCCCGAACCATCTGTTTAATGACCGATGTTCCATGTGACAGCGTTAAAGAACCTGTCATTCCTTTTTCCCTTCAGTCACTCAGGGAAGTTTAGTAGTTAAGGTTGCAAGAGAACGCATCTGAGATCAAGTGTCCCAAAATCACATGGGTAATGCATAACACCCAGTGGTCTTTTCATTGCTTTTTCAGAAATGAACGTTTGAAGCCAAACAGTGAATTATATGTGCTGTGGTAATACTGAGCCTTTATCCCTATGAGGCTCCTGATTTTTCTACTAAGGAGTTAGGAATTTTTGGTAAACTACACAAGAAATAGTTCATCTCAGAATACTAAAAGGAATATATATATATATATATATATTAATAGTGCTAATTAGAATGGTTGGGATCTTTTTTTCTTCACAAATTTTGGCCTGTTTGTGCTGCTTTCAGGCTTCATTATGTGATTGTATCTCTTTACTGTGGCTCAGGTTATCCTTGTTCTTAAAGTGTGTTTTATATTTGGAAAAAAAAATCCAGTAAGCACCCAAATGTTTTCTGGATTAGTTTAATATAGACACAAAACCCAGTGTCCTCCAGATCTAAAGGAAAGGATTCCAACAGGCTATGAAGTAACAGAACCTAGTTTTGTCTTACAGATCTTGTTACCTTGTAAAAAATCTGAGGAGATTATTGTTTATTCTTGACCTTTTGAATTACATAAACCAGCAGTGCATCCTTGCACATAACCTAGGTCTAGATATAAGAAAAAAACTGTGGCAGAGTTACATGAAGGATCTTAAGAGATGGTTTTAGTGATTCAGTATGCCTAAAGGCCACTTACATATTGAATAAATATAGTTTATTAATAGTCTAGACTCTGGGTTTCTAGTTTCCTGTTCCTAATTTTAAATCTAACAAGAAATTTGATATTATTAGGTTGTCATTTTGAGCTCTTGTAACCTGGTATCCTGAAGCTGGTTTTTGGGTACAGGAAGCTGGTGAATTTTTTGACGATATTTTACAGAAGGAAAGTTGCTATTAATATCCAGCATCCCCAATTTTTAAAAACTGTGGACATCTGGTGCTCAGAAAACTTAACTCAAAACGTTGGGTCTCTTTAAAAATCTCTTCCTGAGATAGGAAGTTAATAAAATGGTGGTACTTCATCCTACTCCCTTCATAGAGGAAATTTATATGCTTGCTTTGAAGTATTTTGATCTCCTTTCTGAAGAAGGTAGTTAAGATGTGTTGTACATGTGTATAAACTTCATGAGAATCGCTGTTATGTATGATCTATCCATTTAGGAGTGGTGATCTTCAAAAGTAACCAGAAACTGGATGATTTTTTTTCATTGAGTATTTATGTAAATAAATGGCAGATTTCCACATTTTAAAACTACTGGCACTGAAATAATGCTGAAAGTTAAATCCAATTCAGTTTATCTTCTGTTACCGATTATGTGTTTACTATGTTATTAGTGTTTAAATAAAGTCATATGCAAACTTTTTTTGTAGGATTATGCTAAAGAGAGATATGGAATATGTTCAATGATACAGTCACAAGAAAAACCAGGTTAGTAGCTATGCAATAAAAAATAAACGCTTTTTTCTAATTCTAAGCTTTTCATGAAATTTTATGTAAGGGGGCTAGTGTTGAGGTTCAGCAGGTTAAGCCACTGCCTATAATACAGACATCCCACATGGATGCTGGTTCATGTCCTGGCTGCTGCACTAATGCATCTGGGAAAGCAGCAGAAGATGGCCCAAGTACATGGAAGACCTGGCTGGAGTTATAGGCCCCCGGCTTCAGCTTGACCCAGCCCCAGCCGTTGCAGCCATTTAGGGAGTGAATCCATGGATGGAAGATCTCTTTCTGCTTCTCCCTGTATCGCTGTAACTCTGCCTTTCACAAATAAGTAAGTAAATTTTTAAAAAGAAATTTTAAGTAAGGTTGAGATCATTAAAAATACTTGAAAAGCTTAAATGATATTAATAATTCAACTAGATACCATACCCCTTGTAAACATCAGTTTAGACAATCTAGAAAAGGAAGATAGGTTAAATGGATATTGTAGATTGAGTGATACATTTCAAAGTGTAGGTCATTATTAAAATATTCCTAAATAATTAGGAAGATTGGCCAGCGCCGCAGCTCACTAGGCTAATCCTCCGCCTTGCGGTGCCAGCACACCGGGTTCTAGTCCCGGTCGGGGCGCTGGATTCTGTCCCGGTTGCCCCTCTTCCAGGCCAGCTCTCTGCTGTGGCCAGGGAGTACAGTGGAGGATGGCTCAAGTGCTTGGGCCCTGCACCCCATGGGAGACCAGGATAAGTACCTGACTCCTGCCATCGGATCAGCGCGGTGCGCCGGCCGCAGCATGCTGGCCGCGGCGGCCATTGGAGGGTGAACCAATGACAAAGGAAGACCTTTCTCTCTGTCTCTCTTTCTCTCACTGTCCACTCTGCCTGTCAAAAAAAAAAAAAAAAAAAATTAGGAAAATTTAATTCTGGTGTAGGGGATAAAATTCTGGTTAGTTGTTAATAATAACTGCCTTCGACCGGCACCGCGGCTCACTAGGCTAATCCTCCGCCTGCGGTGCCAGCACCCCAGGTTCTTCTCCTGGCTGGGGCACCGGATTCTGTCCCAGTTGCTCCTCTTCCACTCCAGCTCTCTGCTGTGGCTGGGGAAGGCAGTGGAGGATGGCCCAGTTCCTTGGGCCCTGCACCCGCATGGGAGACCAGGAGGAAGCACCTGGCTCCTGGCTTTGGATCGGTGCAGCGCGCCGGCCGTAGCGGCCACTTGGAGGGTGAACCAATAGAAAAAGGAAGACCTTTCTCTCTCTCTCTCTCTCTTTCTCTCTCACTCTCTCACTGTCTAAACTCTGCCTGTCAAAAAAAATAAAATAACTGCCTTCATCACATGCAGCCTTTCTGCTTGCTTTATTGACCTTATCACCCTTACTTTACCCTAAATCTCTGACTAGTTTTGGTTATTATTTATTAAACTTCCATTCCGCTTGACTCTTTCTAAAAATCTATTTTCCCACTCAATTCCTACAACATCCTTTAAAATTCTCAAAAGTTGAAACACAAGAAACTACCCCACACAACCAGAAAGAATATGCCAGACCTGGAATACTGGAACCAAGTTTGTCTGTTCCCAGAGCCTGTAGGTCTTTCCACCCCTCTGTCTTCTTAGCCCAAGTTGTAATTTTTTTTTTTTTTTTAAGACAGATTTAGACAGAAAGGTCTTCCTTCCATTGGTTCACCCCCCAAATGGCCGCTATGGCGGCACGCTGCGGACAGCGTGCTGCGCCTATCCAAAACCAGGAGCCAGGTGCTTTCTCCTGGTCTCCCATGTGGGTGCAGGTCCTAAGCACTTGGGCCATCCTCCACTGCCTTCCCGGGCCACAGCAGAGAGCTGGACTGGAAAAGGACCAACCAGGACAGAATCTAGAGCCCCGACCGGGACTAGAACCCCGGGGTGCCAGCACCACAGGCTGAGGATTAGCCTAGTAAGCCGTGGCGCCAGCCGCCAAGCTGTAATTTGAAACTCAGTCCCCTCTCTCCACAAATTTTTTTTTAAACTTTTATTTAGTAAATACAAATTTCCAAAGTACAGTTTATGGATTACAATGGCTTTTTCCCCCCCATAACTTCCCTCCCACCCACACCTCTCCCGTCTCCCGCTCCCTCTCCCATTCCATTCACATCAAGATTCATTTTCAATTATTTTATATACAGAAGATCAATTTAGTATATATTAAGTAAAGATTTCATCAGTTTGCACCCACACAGAACATTAAGTGTAAAATACTGTTTCATATTAGTTATAACTGTTCTTGAACTTTATCTTATTACAGCTATCTTTAAAAAAAAGTTTGTATGTATCTTTATATTTCTTTGAAATTGATTTGACTCACATTAATTGTTTCAGATCTGTAGGTTTTGTTTTTGGAGGGAGAGGAGGACATTAGATTTATTTATTTGAAAAGCATAGTGGCAGAGAGAGGGTGAGACAGGGAAAGAGAGCTTCCATCTGCTGGTTCACTTCACAAATGACTGTGACATTTGGGGCTGGGCCAGGCCTAAGCCACAGTCAGGAAGTCCATCCTGGTTTCCCATGAGGGTGGCAGGGGCCCAACTATTTGGACTGCTTCCACTATCTTTCTAGGCACATTAGCCAAAAGAGCTGGATCAGAAGCTGAGCAGCTGGGACTTGAACCAGTGCTCCATTATGGGATGTCAGCATTACAATCAGCCACCCTACAGGTTTTTTTTTATTTGTAAATATTTGCTTTTTATTTGTCTTAGAGATTTATCTTACTCAACTGTTTAGTAATCTTTTTTCTTTGTAGACATCCAAATATGTCTTTTATCCTTAGTATTACTGCAGACCTTTAAGTTTGTTTTTTAAGATTTATTTTATTTATTTGAAAGAGTTACAGAGAGAGGTAGGGCCAGAGAGAGAGAGAGTTCATCCATCTGCTGGTTTATTCCCCAGATGACCACAATGGTCAGAGCTGAGCTAATCTGAAGCCAGGAGCCAGGAGCTTCTTCTGGGTCTCCCACATGGGTACAGGGGCCCAAGGACTTGGGCCATCTTCTGCTTTCCCACGCTATAGCAGAGAGCTGGATCAGAAGTGGAGTAGCCTGGACTCGAGTTGGCGCTGCAGGCCAGGGCTTTAACCTGTTGCGCCACAGCACCCGCCCCTTAAGTTCTAGGCCATTCAGAGTACTACTTCTAATTTAGAGGGCTGGCTGTGAATTTACGTTTTGGGATTAATATACTGTCATGTGAGTTTTACTGTTGTTTTAAATTTGATTTGCCTTATGGTTACAAAATCACTTTTACTTCTTTAACTTTGTTGGGAAAATGTACACAATAAAAAAATTGAATTAGTTTTCTAAAAATAAACCCAGGTTTTTGAGTCATCTACCAGCATGATTGGATGTAGAGGTTCAAGCAGCATCTTCAGGCTTTCTTTCTCTACCTCTTGACTGCTGCTTTTAGGATGTTGGCCTCATTTTCTTGTCTTGCAAACTCATGCTAAATGGGAAAGAAGATGGCTGCAACCCTGAGCTTACATTATCTCACCTAAATGAAGGGAACGTTGAGAGCCTCACTCCCACATCTGTGTATTAACTCCTAGAGAGAAAGACTTTGTATATCTCTGATATAGCATGCTCTTACAGTGTCCTGGAGAATGTGGTGCTGTGATACCTGTCCAGGCTAGCTGATTATATACTATAGCAGGCAAGCAAAAACTGTGTGTCCTCGTAGGCATAGGTAGATGAGGACAGACTGTGTTTGGCCTCAAAAGTCATTCAACTGTTCAGCAAATTTTACATTTTTAAACTGTCTCCGGCTGCATTATAACTGATACAGAAGAGGTCCAGGAGTTTGCCAGTTAGGATATTATTTCCTATAGTTTAAGCAAAAGGTAATAATAGCTTGATTTGGGATGGTGGTAGTAAAGATAGAAAATTGGATTAATTTTTTTCTTAGATTTTTTTCTTTTTTAAAGATTTATTTATTAATTTGAAAGAGGCACAGAGAGAGAGAGGTCTTCCATCCACTGATTCACTCCCCAAATGACTGCAACAACCGGAGCTGCGCTGATTAGAAGCCAGGAGCCAGGAACTTCTCCTGGGTTTTCCACACTGGTGCAGAAGCCCAAGGACTTGAGCCATCTTCTACTGCTTTCCCAGGCCATAGCAGAGAGCTGGATTGGAAGTGGAGCGGCCAGGACTCAAAACTGGCGCCCATGTGGGATACTGGCACTGCAGTGGCTTTACCCACTACACCACAGCAGCGGCCCCTGGATTAATTTTAGAAATATTTATTTTTAAGAAGATGTGACTTAGTCCTTCTTTAAATTTTTTTTTTAATATTTTAAGATTTTAAAAATTTAAGATTTTATTAATTTGGGAGGTAGAGTTACAGACAGAGAGGGAGAGAGAGAACGGTCTTCCATCTGCTGGTTCACTCTCCAAATGACCTCAGTGGCCAGAGCTGAGCTGATGTGAAGCCAGGAGCTTCTTCCAGATGTCCCATATGGGTACAGGGGCCCAAGGATTTGGGCCATCCTCCCCTGCTTTCCCAGGTACATTAGCAGGGGGTTGGATCAGAAGTGGAGCAGCCAGGACTCGAACCTGTGCCCAAATGGGATGCTAACACCACAGGCAGAAGCTTAGCCTGCTCTGCCACAACGCCAGCCCACTAAAATATATTTAGAAAGTATTATTCACAAAATTTGAGGAGAATTGCATATGGAAAGGATAGAGAAGTGTTACCAAGGATTGAGAATTATTTAGAATGATACCAAGTACACACAGAGCTACTAGACAGAAACAATTATGATCTCTTTGTAAATTCTGAATGGAAAAATTGTTTCACTGTTTTTCACAGATCGAGTTTTGGTTTGGGTTAAAGACTTGACAGTACAAAAAGCTGATGAAGTTGTTTGGGTCCGTGGGAGAGTTCACACAAGCAGAGCTAAAGGTAAGATTGACTTAATGTATTTTTGTCTTGCAAATTCCTCACAGGTCAAAGTAAGTCTTTAAAAACAGAACAAAGCAAAAACACATAACTTTTTTTTTCTTAAATTGCTGTACCATGGTTAATTAGTTTTAAATTCCTTTAAGGTTAAAGATAGTTTGACCCTGAAGACTTAAATCTAAAACTTCAAGATACTTTTCTAGCATCTCTTAAAAGTTTAATTATTTAAACTTGAGTTTTTGGAAAAACTTGTCAATTTGTAATGATTAGATGAGTAGGGAGGTAGCAGAGAGATAAGGCTAAGACACTAGGCTGTCGAGTACAGAAGGCACTGGCCACACATGGCTATTTAAGTTTAAATGGAAATTCAGTAGGTTGGTCCCACCAACTGTTATTTTGAGTGCTTAACCATATGTGGTTAGTGGCTCCCACTATGGAATGACAGCAAATAGAGTATTTTTATCATTTTTAAAGGTCCTTTTGATCAATGCTAAGGATTTAATGTAAACAACAGAGAAGAAATATTAGGATAGTTTAGACAAACCTTGGGTTCTTGTGGAAAATTGGTCCAACCTAAAATTTGAAATTTTCTAAAGATAATAATGGCATTTATGTACTTTATAATTTAATATTTTCACACTTTCACATTTGGTTGTCCATACAAATTTATAAAGTAGGCAGAACAGGTATTGATATTCTGCTTTATAAATGAAAAGACAGGTTCAGAATGATGTCAACCCAAGTGTCATGGTAATTGTGGTATGAACAGAATTCAGAAGCTTTCTGATAATTATATCTTTATTAGAGTTCTTTCCTGCTATAGTAATTAATATATACTATGTCATAGTGTTTCTTAATTGTAATTTAGAATAATTTGTATTGTAGAATTAATACAAATCTACTTCACAAAGTTGTGGGGAAAATGGAATTAAAAGTTACTTAAAGTAGCTAATAAAAAAGAAAAACTGATGTCCATGATAGGTTTTTCAGAATATACATTTTTCATGAACTTTTTGAAGATTCTTTTTGTGCATGTATTTACAAATTATTTTGTACCAAAATAAAATTTTTCATTCCACTTTCCATGAACTTTTGGAAATATCCCCGTATGTGCTCATGATTTTTAAATTTCCAACATTTATGTATCAGTCTCTCAAGATCACTACTAATATCAATGCTTCCAGTATCCTGCCTGCAAATAGATGAATACAGATGGACTTTGAAAAGAGTAAAAGAGTGCTGGTAGTGTTTTAAAACTTTTGAATAATACTAATATCCCTTCCTGAGAGGCTGACACTTATTCTTTCAGCAGATAATCACAATGTGTTGTAATCCTTCATTTACTTTGGGAGCCTTTGCTTTCCAAAGTGAGCACTGTGTTTCCTAAACAGAACACATGCTACATGTAAACCTGAACTAAAAATACCCACTACTTCATACCCACTGCTTCATTTTATCACTTATATTTATCTTTCGTAATATTTAAAACACAAAAGTGAGTGATATTTCCCAAAGGTTATGTTATGGATGTATGTATGTCAATTTTTATTCCAAATTCTTGCCCCCACAGAGATAAGAATTCAAAGTAGAGGCATAAACATAGTGGACAAGTGAGAATAGGACTTCTTTACAAGAGAGGGAGTGAATATACATTCATGTGTGAGTGTGAGCCACCCCACATAGATCCCCATCATGAGTGCACCTGAGAGTTGCCTACTAGGCGAAAGTGAGGGGAGGCCTGAGGACCCATAAGCATCATCTGGAAGCCAAAAGGGTGTTTCCACCTGTATAAGTCCCTTTTTATGAGGTAGGGATGGTGCCCTAATTGAATGTACAAACATAATGGAGTTCAGTATGTATGAGGCTGTTTGAGAGTTTCATGATGCTTCCAAATAGAGCTTAATGTCCCGACGTTCATCATGGCATCTCTGGTCCTGGATGAGAGACAGGTGCTTCAAGCAAAATGGGCATACTGGATTGACAGGTTACGGGGTGAGGTTACAAAGCAGGGCTATGCAGAAATTGTGAGAAAATACTGCAGGTCAACCTTTCCTACCTAAACTTCCTGCTTAGTTCCACCATGTCAGTTATGATAATGAACTTTTGAGTGAGACTAATCTATGTTTGAATACTGGATTTGTACTAATGAGTATACTTACTTACTTGCATTTCATGGTAGTTTTTTTGTGTATTTTATTTCCTATTGTAGACTCATAGAAGGTACTATTGCTTATTTTATTTCTTTGTTTGATACACAGCACTCAATAAAAACCCTAGTAAATAATTGATGAATAAATTAAATACTAAATGGGAGTTGCTTTATACACAAAGCATTGTCATCTGGATCTTATACTTGGTCTTGGAGTAGCTTACTCTGACTGAGATGATCCAGCAAGTATTTTAAGAAACTAGAAGACAATTACAAAGCGTCACAAAAGTGAAAAAATTTTATCTGCTAGTGGTTTATTCTGCTTGTGATAAATAATTTTAGTCTCCTAAGTGACAGTGCTTGCCTAAAAATATGAAAAAAGTTGCAAGGAATTTATCATGGTGATGCAAGCTGATGAAGGGAGAAAGTCTTTCTGTGAATATGATCTAGTAAAAATATAATTAAATAAATTAATGGGTTGTAGGAATTTTGGTAAGATTAAATGGAAACACCTTTTTTCTTTTAATTGAAAACTAACACACATGTGGTATTTTTAAATTGGAACAGTTTAAAGAATAAAGCAGTAAGTAACTCGTTATTCTACTCTCAAGAGATCAAAAAGTAACTCACTTATTACTCAAAGACAACTATGAAAAGTTGAAATATATAGAGATTGCTTTAAACTAAATTACAAAAGTGAGTTCCTACGCTATACCTGTATTTTATATGACTGTGTCATCATTTACAGTATAATTTTAAAAAAGAAATGTTTGTTATTCTAGATTATAAAATAGTTTTTTGAAATAATACAGAAATAAGTGATGTATAAAGGTGAAAAATCAATTATTAATCTCCTTTTCAGGTTTGTTTTTATGAATAGGAGAATGTATGTGTTTGAACCCAAAGTTTTATAATAATGGGGCCAGCGCCATGGCTCACTTGGTTAATCCGCCGCCGCCTGTGGTGCCGGCATCCCATATGGGCACTGAGTTCTAGTCCCAGTTGCTCCTCTTCCAGTCCAGCTCTCTGCTGTGGCCCGGGAGGGCAGTGGAGGGTGGCCCAAGTACTTGGGCCCCTGCACCCACGTGGGAGACCAGGAAGAAGTACCTGGCTCCTGGCTTCGGATCGGTGCAGCACTGGCCGTAGCAGCCATTTGGGGAGTGAAGCAACGGAAGGAAGACCTTTCTGTCTCTCTCTTACTGTCTAACTCTATCTGAAAAAAAAAAAAAAAAAAAAAAAAAGTTTTATAATACGGTAGTTTCTTGACCTGCATTTTCTCTTGGACATTTTTCCTATCTGTATGTATAGTCCTGCTTCATTTATTTTTTAATGGTTTCATAGTATTCTGTAGTATGGCTGTACTTAGTATTTTCCCATTTTCAGAAAATTTGAGTTTACTCATTCTTGTTTAATTTGCATTTCAATCATTGGTTAGATTAAACTTTTAATTATATGTTAGCTTTTTAAATGTCTTGGGTATGTTCTTGCCCTTTCATTTTTTTATTGTATAAGAACAAATAAATATTTTTCTCCAAGTCTATCTGTATTTCAGTATTTTGAGGGTAAGAGAGGTTTGATATTGCCTGCTTTAGATACTCATATAACTAAATTATATAGTATATATTCTTTTGTACAAATTGCATGTATTAGGTGTTTGCTCATTTTAATTGTTGAATAGTATTCCATTGTATGATCATACTACAATCTGTTTATTAGGTATGTGTTGATGGACATTCTGTTAGAATGTTTCCTATTTTTGGCTGTTCTGAATAAAGCTGGTATTAACATTGATGTAAAAATTTTTGCATATATGCTTTTATTTCTCTTGAGTGGAATTGTAAGATCACAGAGTAGGTATATGTTTATCTTCATTTAAAAAAAAAACTGCCAAACTTTTCCAGAGTGCTTGTATCATATTGTGATTTTTGAAATGCCATCATCTCCTAAAAGAAACTAAAGCTACTTGGAAAAATAGCAAATTTTAAGTACTGGGCGGGAATTGTATACGACAGATCTAGAATATCCTTTTGTAACAGGTAGGAAAGAAGGTGGACAAGACTGTATGGTTCCATGAATAAGGAACTCATGGACTAACTTGAAGAGGTTACCACAGGCCAAAAACCAGTGAAACAAAGTCATTATATAGAAAACCAGTAAATAAAGGGAATTTCTGTATGGATTATATATCACCTGCAAACTAAATGATAGATATGAGGAAGTGTCTGTTTAGAGAAATATGCTAGCCAATAAAATGAAAAAAGAATGTTAGAACATTACCATTTTGCCCCTAGTAAGTAAACCAGGCATTGATCATCATTGCTTGCTAACATCACAAAGGAAAGACAACCAAAAATAGTTTCTGCTCATGAAAAAACACAACAAAATAAAGTAGTCTATGAAGTAGTCTTAGCCAAAATATTGCTGAATTAAGCCTTTAGATATGTTTGTCAGCTTACAGGAAAAATAAGACAAAGGAACATGTTAAATGAAAATGAAATAGAATCAGTGTAACCTGGTAGGAAAATACTGAGCAAAACAGCCTAGTTTCTTCAATAATTAAATTGGAAAGAGAGGGAATTTATGGATTAAACCTTAAGACGGCCCCTTAATCTGTCCTGATTAAAGTGCATAGTTTTTTTTTTTTCCTAAAAGGACGTTTGGACTGTTGGATATTTGAACATTAACTGAATATTTGATGTTTAAGAAATTTTTTTCTTTTTTTTGACAGGCAGAGTGGACAGTGAGAAAGAGAGACAAAGAGAAAGGTCTTCCTTTTTGCCGTTGGTTCACCCTCCAATGGCCGCCGCAGCCGGCACACCACGCTTATTCAAAGGCAGGAGCCAGGTGCTTATCC